CCCCAAAACCCCAAAACCCCGAGAGTTAAATCTAAACAGAAATATCACAAGTATTTGATGAATTTTAATGAAATTCGAATTCATCATTTATTTAATAATAAATAGAATTAATTCTTAACATGAAGCACGTTAGTCCTAGCCGTTTAAAATTAAGTGAAAAAAGAATTGAGCATATAGGAGATGATGCATCTATATAAGATAAACAAATTAGATTTGATTTCACCAACCTACAAAATATAAACAATACAGAAAGAAAGTTTGGGTCGATTGAAAACTTGAATCTTCAAATTGATGATGATAAAGCAGAATTTGATACTGTTAAAACAGATTTTGACAAATAAAAATAGACTTAATACTAGAATGATTATGTTTTGGGCTTAAATACAACTGAAGAGTAAAAAATGACTAATGAGCAATTAGAAATTGATAAAAAGAAAAGGGATCTCAATAGGTATATAATAAATCCGTAAGAATTTCTAGAGACTGAGTGAGGCCTGATTACTTATAATAATGCATACGTCACTTAACAAAATAAATCGAAAAAAGACTAAAAAGATTTAACTATATAGAATAGTTTGGGTTTAAAGCCTAGTGAGATTTTAAATCAAAATGAAAAGACCAGAAAAGCAATGAGTGAAAACATAGGAAAACCATATTTTCAAGATATTTCTACTACTAGTAGAATACCATCTTCCACTACAGTTTAAAATAATAAAGAAAAAATAAATTAAAATATTGATAACTCTTAAACTGATGATATTAAAAAGAAAAATAAATTTAAAACTATATCTAGAAGCATCATGAATATAGTAACAAAAAAAAAGTAAAACACTAATTAGGCTAATATATTACAATAGAAATTTAGAGAAACTTTGAAGTTAAAGATAGCATAAGATCAAAATTATCAATAAATATTTGAGCCAGTAAATCTAAATGAAATTTATAAACTTGAGGGAAATGAAAACAAAGATGATTAATCATGCGAAAGTTTGGAAAGGGGTTTCTAGATCATTTTAAGAAAAATTACCTAAAAGATTCCAATCAAAATTAGGATAAAACTGAAGTTCAAGCAATTTAAGATCCTTAAAAATCTTAGGATTTTGCAGAACATATTAAAAACAAAGGTTTGCCAGAACTTTTTGGAAAAAATAAGCTCAATAATACAGAGGCCAAAGAAAAATAAAAAACTGGCCAGGAATAAAGAGAATTATAGACAGAAAAATAACCTAAAGGATGTATTATAAGCCCTGATTCAGCATTCATGCTATGCTGGAATGTATTAATCTCTATTCTATTGATTTACACTTGCATTCAAAGTCCTTACTAAATTGCGTTTATAGATAGCTTAGATCTAAAATGGACTATCATTAATGGAGTTGTCGATTTCGTATTTCTTGTAGATATTATTGTAAATTTCTTCACTGCTTATTATAATCACAATTACAAGCTTATATAAAATTAGTGATAAATAGCAAATAACTACATTCAATCTTGGTTTTTTATAGATCTTTTGACTATCATACCCTTCGACTATATTCTTGAATCAGAGAGTTACAATAGGCTAGGAAGAATATTAAGACTTGGGAAATTTTATAGGATGGTTAAACTAATAAGACTACTCAGAATTGGAAAAGTAGTAAAATATGAATCTCTCTTTTAGTAGTTTGTTCATAGGTTGTTTCAATTAACTATTGGTTATGAGAGGCTACTATTTTTGCTAATCATGTTTTTGACTCTTTGCCATATTGCAACATGTCTCTAGTAAGTTACATTAATTTTAGAAATTCAATATTTTTAGGATATTCATTGCAAAATTGGAAGAAAATTAAAAATAGTCTTGGATTTTTAAAAGCAATTTTGAAGATTTTGGAGATTATGAGTTATATATAACTGCCTTTTATTACACTGTAACAACAATAGTAACTGTAGGATATGGTGATATTACTGCGAAAACTGTAAGTGAAAAGTTAGTTTCAATCTGCCTAATGATTATTGGTGTTGTCTCATTTTCCTATGCATCTGGAATACTAACTAATATAATCAATAATCAAGATTCAAACTCTGCTGAGTTAGTGTAGAAAATACATACTCTATAAGTGATAAAATAGAAATATAAAATAAAGCCAGAGTTGATTAAAAAAATCAAGGATTGGTTAAAATATTACCACTAAAAAACTCTTTTTGATGTTACTGCTTTTATGGATGATCTTCCAAATGGACTGAAAACAAAATTAGCTGTTGAAGCTAATCATTAACTCTGCGATTCTATTGATTTCCTGAAAAGATAAGACTAGCAATTTATTCTCTGGGTTTTTCCTCTCCTTAAACCATTTTTCGTGCCATAATATGACTATATCTACAAAGATGGTGATGAAATATTAGAAAGTAAGTATTTTCCTTTAAAAACAATAACTTTAAATTAATCTGTAGTTTATTTCTTGGAGAGCGGAGAAGCTGCATTTGTTCTTTAAAAATTCATTGATGACATCTATATTAATATAGAATAGGGTAATTATTTTGGAGATATTGACCTTATTTATGATCCAAGAATACTAGAAAGTAAGAGTAGCGTCAAGTAGCTAATAATTAATGGAAAAGACATATATAGAAGATTCACAATACAAGCTATTAAAAATTGTGAGCTGCATTTATTATCAATAGATGACATTGATTAGATGAAAATAGAATTTTCTGAAGTTTTCTAAGATCTTTTTAAAAATAGCGAAACGAGGCTTGAAAAGATTTTGAAACTTAAAATTGATGCATCAAAACAATTAATATTGAAAAATGGCTTAGAAGAGCATAATTTAGATCCTAATTCTAATGCTTTATAAGAACTTCAAAAGAGAATAGCTTGAAAAAATAATGCTATAAAAAATAAACAACAGCACAAAAAACAGGAAAAAGATTAAAATAGACCAAGTAAGTCAACATAATCATTGAAGACAATTAACGAGGAAGATTAATAATAAAGTGAGTTAGATAGCATTTCAAGCTCATCACATTAAAGCGATTATACTAAAAGTATCATATCTGAAAAATATTTTAAAAACAAATATTTCTCTTAAGAACTAGAAGAAAATCCAACACCATAAAGAAGTTAATCTTCTATTTCAAAGAGAAAAAGTTCCTACCCAGACCTATATTAAAAAAGTAAACAAAAGAAAATCTATGAATCTGCCAATTAAAACTATTAGAAAAAAAGTTACAAGGAAAATAAGAATTAAATTACTAAGAATGATCACTTGAATAAAGATAATAATACAGCGGATTTAGGAGAAAGAGTTGATAAAATAGAAATTTTAGTTAAAGATTTGTTGAGTAATGTTGGCAAAGTTTATAATGCTATAATAGAAATAAGAGATAAAGCAGTTTGAAAATGATTGCTATAGTTTGAGACAAATTTAATTTCAATAATCTGAATTATGCTAGAAATACTTCCTGATGGGGTTTTGGGGTTTTGGGGGGATTTACTAATATTCTTTGAACTTCGA